CACAGTGTAAAACCAGGGACAGAACTGGGAAGGATTCTAGGCCTGGACCCGTTCCTAGAGTTGGAAAAACAAGCTTCTAAGAGATTTGAATAGCTGAAAAGGGGAAAAAAATAAATGTGATATTCATAGCTGTGTACTGTTATAGCCACGGAAAGTCAGTGCTCTCAGAGGGTCTCTCCTTTCATATGTTGTGCACTGGAAAAGGTGGCAGTGGAAAAGGTGGGAGAAACATGCTCCCTCTAGGAGGGAGCTGGTAGTTTTTTAAATTCCATTTAATTGAATTTTTTAAATTCAATTTAAATTCCAGTGTTATGACACATGGTGATGCCTAGGGAGGTGGTTCAGTGTGAGCTTTGAAACCCTTTCACCCATGATGTGAAACCTTTTTTGATATCCATGGTTTTGATAACCAACCTGAGCCATGGATAGGACAAGGAGGAGGGGGTGGCTTCAGCTGAGGGAGGGTAGATTTAGATTGGATATTAGGAAGAAATTCTTCTCTCTGAGGGTGGGGAGGCCCTGGCACAGGTTGCCCAGAGAAGCTGTGGCTGCCCCTGGATCCCTGGAAGTGTCCAAGGCCAGGTTGGATGGGGCTTGGAGCAACCTGGGCTGGTGGAAGGTGTCCCTGCCCATGGCAGGGGTTGGAAAAGGAAGGTCTTTAAGGTCCCTTGCAGCCCCAACCATTTACTGATGATAATTCAATGCTGCCACATGCTCAGTGGTCCTTTAGTGAGGTATTTGAGAGGGCTATGATAGACCTGAACGATGGGAGTTTGTGTCCCCAGCTTCATGGGAGCAGCAGCCAGCAGATTCTGCCTTTCCCCTAGTCTGATCCATGTGTCCTTCCCCCCCAAAAAACGGGGCCAAGCAGGCGGCAGCAGCCCTAAGTGTGGCTGTGGAAGAGGAGATGTTTGCCTGCTGTCAGTCTCCTGGGCTGGAACCGCCACGTAGCCTGGGTTCAGCTCGTGGCCCTCGGTGGAGTGTCTCCTCCAGCTTTGAGGGCCATCAGGAGTCGCTGCCGTGTGCGGCAGCAAATTTAGCAAGCGCTGGTGTTCAGGAACAAAGAGGGCCCCTGAAACAGCAGTGACTGTTTTTGGTAGGTCTGTTTAGAAAACATGATCATACCCATTTGCTCAATTTGCATGTCTGAAAGGCTTCTGCTCGGTTAATTGGTGAAATTAATTTCTGCTGTTGTAAACAGAGAGCTGTATTAAGAGCAGAACTGAAGTAATTTTACTTTACATTATTCCGTGTCATGGCACATCGTTTCTTTCTTACTCAAGGCAATTCATTTCGTGGTGCTGTCAAGTGATACTTGGTGTCATCTCCAGCTGATGCCGTGGTTTTGATCCCCCCTCCTCTCCCCGATTATTTTAGCAGTTTGTTTAGTCCTGTAGATAATGGTCAGTGCCCTTGAGTCAGTCGAATTAACACCTCGGAGCCACTGCCGGTGACCTCGGGATGAAAAGCGATGGGAATCGACGTGGCGGGGGGGGGATCATTGATGGATTGGCGCATCCCGGCGGCGGCGGCATCGCCCCAAAGCTGACTAAGATGGAGCTGCCAGTTAGTGCTGACTGCGGGCCATCACCTGCGTTTGGGGGGGGATAGAGCCTGGACAGGGCTGGGTCCGAGGAGTTCCCGGAGCCGGGACACAGCGTGCCATCCCGTCCCACTCCGCTCCGGCTCCTGCTGGCTCTGAGAGGCAGCTGATGCGATGCAGCCCCTCCGTTCCCGGAGGGAGCGCTCCGGGATGCGGGGCCCTGATGGGGCCGGGGTGGGTCCTGCTGACCTGCTGGCTCGGTCCCCCCCGCCGGGGAAGGAGGAGGAGGAGGAGGGAGCCGAGCGAAGCCGAGCTGTTCGCCGGCGAGCCCCCCGGTCCCCCCTCGCCCGCAGCTCGCGATCGCTGGCAGGTTTCTCTCACTGCACCTCATTTGCATCTGGGACATCAATTAGCATGTTTGTTGAGGCTAATTGAATGAAACTCAATCATAGCTCTTAATTGCTTGACTATGTGAAAAGAAATCACATTAATGCAGCTAATTAAGTGTATGGCAATAGATGCAACATAATTAGGAGCGAAATGTAAAAAACAAGCGATGGCGAAGGTGTGGGGGACCGGGGCACCAGCTTCTCCTCTAAGCCACATGTTTGGGGAGGGGTCCCTCTCCTTTGCTGCTTGCTTTATTTTTCTTCTTTTTTTTTTTATTTTTTTTTTCCCCCTGCCTTGCTGAGTGATGAACACGGACAAGTTGAGAAGAAAAATGCAAATGGATTCACAATTACTACTTTTTCAAGCTGTTGAGGGGCAGAAGATGGCACGTCTGGGGTGGCCCACTGTTGAGTGGGCTCTAGGGACTTGTTAAGTGCTGTTTAAAAGTACTTGGCTTTGAATTACCCTCATGCCTTGTTAAAGGGTTTTTTTTCCCCCTTTTTTCTCGGATCAGCATTTTCTACAACTAACATCTCGGGGAGTTATCTCTGTACCATTTGCATATCAAAATCTGGCTTGCTGTCTTCTCTTTAACGCAGCATATTCCAGATGACAGCAAGACCCTCATCTGTTCTAATCTGATCAAACCCTCCATTGCGCTTCTGAAGCCGCCACATTATTTTGTGGTTTGAAGTTTCTATTCCCCGAGCGGGATCTGACGGGGGAGCTCCCTCCGCCGGCTGGGAATGTGGGCCCGGCCCCCTCCCTCCTCGGGGGGCAGGGGGGGGGGGATGCACAGATTATCGCTATGCATTCTGCACACAATGAAAGAGCCTTTATTATTTACATTTGATATATCCCCATAAATATTTAAGCTGACATTAATACCTACGTGGCATCTGTTGTGCTCGGGCACTCCGGTCTAATAGTGGCGTGGCTGGCAACGCGTTTGTTTTCTGTTTGCCAACATTCGCTTGCTCTCTCAAATGGTTTATGGCTCACCTTAAGCCCGGTTCAATCCCAATTAAAAGGGCTTTAATAACGCCCTGTCACATCTCAGGAGCTGGCGGGGAAGTCGTTTCGTCTGAAGAATCTGGAATAAAAACACCTCCTTGCGCGGTGGAAGCGGAGCGCTCTGTGGCTGCACGTGAAATGAAACATGTCTATTAGGAAAGAGCACGTGCTGAGGTTTAGTCACTCTCTGATTAAGCCTCACTTTAGAGCCCATAAGCAATAAATGCTCAATTATCTCCTGCTTATTGTATTTTAATTTGCGAAGAACTGACACCCAACAAGAAAGTTCCGCCAACTTGGTAATTTATGGACGAAACGCTTTTGTTCATCTCCGTCTAACACCTAGTAAGGGAATTTTCCTTAATGGATTGCCTTTGTTTCTTTTGGCAGCAGAGCTCTGTGTCCTCTCCCCACGAATTGTTCAGGCCCCACCTTTTACTGTTCTCAGCTAGGGAGAAATAAGCTGGTGTGATGGCTTAGTCTGGGCGGTTTTATCACAGAATTCTGTTAACTGGGAAGAAATTAATGCCGGTCCTAGGTTTTTTTGATGGATTTTGAGCAGAGTGTATAATTTGCATTGTAAAAGCTGCCAAAGGTGAAAGAATCTTGATGAGGGAGCTGATTGTTCCCTGCACTGTGGCAGCAGTGATACAGATCTGGGGTACGCTCAGTGAAATGGATGCTCTGGTGGTGTCCAGGTCTGTGCAGGCACTCTGTCATCTAACACCCGTCATCTGGCTGAACCTTGCCCTGATGACTTGGACAAAGGGGAGGAGGTACATCTTAGCCCATGCAGGTGCCCACGGTGTCACCCAGGTCTCTGTGAGGTGATCAGGTTCTGTCTGAAAAGCAGTTAAGACTTTCTGCCTCCCCACAGAAGTGGCTCAGGAATTCCATTCCCCTGGTCTCCAGCTCAGCTCAAGAACTTCAGCCCAGATCTTTTGCCAACCAGTTCATGCTACTGTTTTCCTCTTGGGGTGTTTAATCATGGAGTCACAGACTGGTTTGGGTTGGAAGGGACCTTAAACACCATCCTGTTCCACCTCCCACCAGCCCAGGTTGCTCCAAGCCCCATCCAGCCTGGCCTTGGACACTTCCAGGGCTGGGGCAGCCACAGCTTCTCTGGGCAACCCAGATGTCTTTTTGTGCAGTGATCTTGTCCCTTGTCACCCTTGATTCTGCTCTCCTGTGTGTCCCCTCTTGCGTGTCCTCTGTAGGACACCATCTCTTTTGTTTCTTTTGGCACCCTCAGAGTTGCTCCAGTTTCAAGCACTTTATCTGGAATGTGAGTAACCACAACCCTGTGTACCAGGAAATGACAACTTAGGTGTCTTGTGGTGTCATTCACCGTCTCTCCTGGAAACATCCCTGCTGAATGTATCCCAGGGTGGCAGCCTCAGTGCCTGTCTGACCGTAGTCAATTGCTTTCTGATAAAAACACCATTTTTATGTGTCTCGTTTGCCCTTCTATTTCTTTCCCCATTTGGGCTTTCCAAACAGGAATTAGCAAAAGCCTTTTCCACTTCTGGCTCTCAGCTTTTAGTGTTTCCTCTAATCAGGTGCAATTTGCATGGGTTTTTTTCCCCTTCTGTGATTTCTCGTGTGAGCGGAGGAAGGGTCTGACATTGTAAGGCAGCAGAGTTGGAATTGCCCAAACCTTCCCCTCCGGTGCCCTTTTTCTGCCTGCTGACCCATTTCAGCCAAATCTGAGGAGCAGATAAGGGCATAAAGCACCGGCAGAGAGGAGGCACAAGTAAATGTGCTCATGAGGGACGCTTAGCTTTGCCACCTCTCTTTGGGACCTTCTGGCTGGTGAACTCCTCCATGTAGTAGCTCAGAGCAGACTCCATCTGGTAGTTTGAGGGTGGAGTGGAGAGCTCCAGACTTTTGGGATTAATTGTGGTAGCAAGGGATCTGTCAAGAAAATGGAAGGGAGGGGAAAACCGTACGGTGGGTGCTGCCAGAGTCTTGTGGAACCAGGTTGATTTAGTTCTGTTGTTCGTGGAAATGCCTGTTTGACGTTGGGCTTTGGGTCTCTTTCCCCCCTTGCCAGGACTACATGCAGAACGTTCACGGGAAGGAGATCGACCTGCTGAGAACCACTGTGAAGGTCCCTGGGAAGAGGCCACCCCGAGCCACGTCAGCCTGTGCCCCCATTTCCAGTCCCAAAACCAACGGCCTCTCCAAGGACATGAGCAGTTTACACATCTCGCCAAATTCAGGTAAGAGGGCACCGTGCTGGGGGAAAAAAAAAGGCATTTCCAGTGCCTGCAGGTTGTTGTCACGTGTGAGTGGGGTGGGGATGGTGTCTGTTAATGGTGTCCAAGGCCAGGCTGGACGGGGTTTGGAGCAACCTGGGCTAGTGGGAGGTGTCCCTGCCCACGGCAGGGGAGTTGGAGCTAAGTGGTCTTTAAGGTCCCTTCCAATCCAAACCGTTCCGTGATTCTGTGATTTACAAATCCACCCATGGGGAACTTTTCAAGCCCTGGCTGCTGGTGTGTCCTACGCAAGAGATTCTCTGAGTAGCCTTCAGTGTCTGTCATTGTATATTTGTTAACCTTACGCTTGCCAAAACCTTACATATTTTCACAGAAATTATCAAATGGGAAGGATTGATCATCTATTAGGTCGAGTACTTAGGAAAAACAAATGCTGTGTGATTTGAAAGGGCTCGTTGTGGCTTCCTGGTGGGATCCACAGCTCTTCTTTCTGCTTTTAGAAGGATTCATAATTTTGGACTTTCCAAGAGCAAGGTTCTTCTGTAGAAAGTCGTTTTAATTAGTTTATGGAAGTAGTTTATGGCTCCTTGAGAGCTCTAAACAAAGGAGTTTATTGTTCCCTGAAGTACTTGTCCATACAGCTGAGTGGATTTTAAAAAATTGCCATTAAGAGAAAACATTTTGAGACGATTTATCTTGTGGAATGTGCAGCTCATCCAAAACTCCTAATGGTGTAGTGGAAGTTTCTGTCAGCATATTTGGGATGGTGTCCATAAAGTGCTGAGTGCCTTTTGCAATTATGAACAACACAGACCCTTCCAGCATGTGCCAAAGGCCCATCCACGCACACTCCTGTCCCCGTGGAACACCCACCGGGATCAGCAGCCGTGGGAAGGAGCTCAGTCACCCGGATGTTCAGGAGTCTTCCCTGGAATGGCAGTGGTTCACCTGGTGCTTCCCAGAATCCCAGAATGGGTTGGGTTGGAAGGCGACTCAAAGGTCATCTCGTTCCAGCCCCCACAGCTTCCAGTCGAGGTGTTAATTCCCTGTGTTTCTGCGGTGTGTGTGTGTTCCCCTGCATTAGGAGAAAATGGAGTTTTGTCTCTTCCAAACGGGAATGCTGCTGGTTGAGATGGGTTTTTGAAGTGGTGCCGCTGAGCAGACACCCCTGCAGTCTGCTGTTTAATTTGGATGACTGGGTGCAGGGAGTGCTTTTGCTTTTCAGTATGTTTTGTAATTTAAGGAAGAAGAGTGCTGGGCTGAGTGGATAAACCAGGGGTAAGATGTTCCAGTTGGAGATTTCTGCTTTTAAGCCGTTTGAACACAGGCAAAAATTACTTGACTGCTCCAGATAAGTGCGTTTTTGAAAACACATTCAGAGATGTGGGATAAAATAAAATTTATAGCGTGGAATTGTCATGGTTTTGCATATGCTCTGATTGCCAGGTCAGGGGGGAGGCTTTCCATGACAATTCAGGGCACACAGCTCTCCCTGGCAGTGGTGGGAGCACCATGTGTGTGTGTCCTGGCCAGCCTGAGGTTTGATCACGCTGAGGCAAGTTCATTAGTCCAGAAAGTGCAAATGCTGGAAAGCAGCTCTGCTTTTAGATGCTGGATTTCAAATAACACCATGGGAGTAACTGGAGCTTCTGTCCTCTCTCTTGGTTTCTTCATCACGTTGCTCAGAAATACTGAAAGACTTTGCTGTTGTTGGTGTCTGGTGCTTGTTACTGGATTAAAAGCAAACATGAAAAGGAACTGCTCGTCAGGAAAGTATTACTTAAAAAAAAAAAAAAAAAAACCACAACAAAGAAATGAAAATGAAATTAGGAAAGTGGAAGGGCACACTGGATCTGGGAAGTCCTGCCAGCAGCTCAGCCCTGCCTCAGTCCACGTGTCCCTCCCCAACATTCTTGTGTTTAGGTGAGGCTGAAAAGCTGCATTGCAGAGAGGGATTTTGAAACAGGGGAATATGAATACGGGGAAAAAAAGATGCTGTCCCAGGCTGTGCCTGGTTTGCTAGTCTGAACCTTGCTGTGGTCAGGTATTTTGGTCACAGCTTCTGATGGGTGGGAGACCTGTGCTTGGTTCTGGAGTGCCAGATGTATCTGCAGTTACCTGTCACGCAGCTAAAAACATCTACAAATTACCCCTTGCAGGCTGTGCTGCTGTCTCAGAGCTTTCCTTGGCTTGTGTAGGCCTTTAAAGTTGATCACAGGGCTGAACTTGTTACTGGTTTTTCACGGGGAGGTTTCTGTGCGTGGATGAGGCTTGAACCACACAGAAAGAGCCAGCACTTGCTATTTTTATTTTTAGGCCTGTAAATTCACCATATTCTCACTGTTGCATGTTACCTCTTCCCCAGAGCAGTCCCGTGGTGCTTATCTTAAATGATGTCTTCATTTGAAGATGATGATGGTCAGTGAAACACTGTTTGGAGGCTGCCCCTTAAGGATGGATGTCAGTGCCAGCTTGGCCAGCAGATCTGTAGATTAGGTGCCTGTTGGATTCCCTCTAACTGACGTGTTCTGAATTAATTTTTCGTGAGTGCTCAGCAGATAGTTTTCTCTGGCTCTTGGTGGAAATTCTTGCGATTCATCTTTCCCGAGGGGCTTCCCATGGCACTGCTTATGGGCAGGGTAGAAGGAATTAGGGTGATGCTGTGAATTCAGGAGGGGCAAACTCAGTTGTTTGGCAATCCAAGTTGTACCAGCCCAGCAGGAGGTGCAAGGTTTGCCGTTAGGGGGGTCACATGCAGGAGGTGAAGTTTAAAAGCCTGTCGTTCCTGGCAGGTGGAATTTTGTTGTGCTTTGTGGCATTTCTGCTCTAAATACGATTGTTTTCCTGGTTTTAAAGACTTTGACAAGCAGACGTAAAATAACCATCTCTCAGTGACAGTTATCCCAGTCCATACATGTTTTCATCCCAAACAAAGCAGGTGTCTCTGGGTAATAATAATTATCTTATCAGCAAAAGCCAAGTTCCAGTCCTTGAGAATTTCCATTTCAGAGATGTGAAAAAAAAATGAAGATCTTTACGAGAATAGATGAAGAGAAAAAAACCTCCGGATCTTCACTCTCTCTCCTGGGTTTCCACTGTCACAAGGGCTGGGAAAATCCTTTTCCCTTGGCATCAGGTCATAATCATGGATGGTACACACGGTCACAGTCGTGGTAGGACACTGTCCAAGCTGAAGTGAAACAGCATTAGGGAAAAGGAATGTTTTCTGTGCTCTGTCACAAAAAAAAAAGACGAGTGCCTGGAAGGTGAGGCTGCTCTGCTGCTGCAAAGCCAGACCCTGCCTGGAAAAAGGTTGACTTTTAGTTGAAAACTGGCCTCTGGGCTTTCTTGGATGGTGCAGTTTGGGGTTTATCCCTGAAAGAACTGGGATTCTGTGTGGCAGCTTCTCCCAGAAAATAAAGAGAGATGGGGTGTTGTTCTAGCTGTGTTATCTATGTTATATCTAGGCTTGTTAACCATGGCTTTAGGAGAGTCACTGTTCTTGTAAGCTAGCTTGGTGGGAATCTGTGAGTTGGGGGAAATAGGTGTTTATTCCCTTTAATCTAAAATTGTGTTACTTTTCTGGTATCTTAGCGATGCTTAAGCGACCGAAATTTAAATTAAACTTACGTGGCACTGAGCATCATTCTGTTGATGCAGCTCAGTTGGAAGTCCTTCAGAAAAGGATAAGTCTTGGACTTGCTCAATTCCAACTCTCTCTAACGATGCAGCAGGGCCAGAGTCCTGTCCATCCCACTGGCCAGTTTGGAAGCTGACTCAGCCCTTGTTGGCTTCAGAGGAGAAGTTGGGTCCAGGTTTCATTTACTCCCCAGCTGGGTTGGATTTGAGCTGATTGACCTGAAGGTGAACTTGTTCCCGAAATCCCTCCCAGGGAGGTCATTTATTCCTTCTCCTCTCCAAACAACCCAAAGCCTGAGCCCGCAGCAAAAGCCACTGATGTAGAAAGTTCACGTCTAAAAATAGCTTATGGGTGTAGAGATAAATTGTTTCCTGATTAACACTTCATTCGAATAATTTGGTGCCATTACATTTCCTTGGAGTAGTGACTGTACAGTATGTGAAGCATCCCAAAATGTGTGAGTTCCAGGCCATCATTAAGGGTGCTAAAGGTTGTTATCTGCTAACTCTGGGTGACATTTCAGATGTCACAGGAGTGGCGGCTTCACATTCTTATCAGTGTGAGTTTTCTGGCTGTTATTAACTGTGATCATCTATCAAATAAATCATCGGTGGTTTTTGTAGACCATACAATAATTTCTTTTTTTTTTTTTTTTAATTGGAGGGCGCTGTGAGGATTCAGATGTTGTGATCAGGCTGATGATGAGTAAAAATGTTTTATCAAGCCAAGAGCTCACAGGCAGTTGCTCCACAGCCTGTAGATCGTGGCTGCCTTTGCAGGCAGATGCCAAACCGAGTCCTAAATTCTTGAATGTGCTCCGAATTCTTTACCTGTAGGTGCCTGAGGTTGTGTGCTGGGGCACTGTGGCCTCGACAGAGCCAGGTTTGACCTGGTGTGGTTCCCACAAGCTGGTTGTTGGGAGGTATTTGTTTGGCAGTCTGACGAGGGGACGTGAGGTGATCGGACAGAACGCGAAACGTGGGGTTTGTGGCTTTGTCACAGACCACAAATACAAGTTTGTGACTTACTTTTGTCGTTAATCACCCGAGTCAATTTTCCATTTGGTTGGGTTTGCTGTTAGCTCAGTGATACACAGCTGCAGCAAATGGAAGGAGAATTTGTCAGTTTGCTCGTTTCCGAGGGGAAAAAAAAAAAAAGCCCAATTTGAAGTGCATCCGAGATTTCCCTTTCATCCCACTAGAGGGGGATCCCTCAAGGTCATCTTCTCCCGTTCCTGCGCACTAGGATTTGCTCTTTCCAGAACTAGAGAGCAAGAAACTTCCACTGAGAGTACCCTGTGTCCCTCAGTAATGGGGGGGGAAAAGGAGCAGGGCACGTGTTAGCCTCAATAAAATAAGTATTT